GCCCACGGTTTCCTTCGCTGGACTCGTTAGTGCGATGAAGTCCCATGTGTTTATTTTCGCTTTTGCTTCCCTTGTCGGAGGAGATACGTAAGAAAAAATATTGCTACGAGAAATGTCCCAGATTTTACTGCCTGTTTTCTTCAAGGAGTTTTATGGTTTTGTGTCTAATGTTTTAGTCTTTAATCAACAATAAACTAACCAACCAACCTGGAAATAGACTCATGGACACAGAGAACAGGCCGACAGCTGTGGGAGGGCAGGGGGGTCGCATGGCTACGTGGAAAAGGTGAAGAGATTTAGCAAAAAAAACCCCAAAACCTCATAGACACAGACAACCGTGTGGAGATGGCCAGAGGGAAGGGGCTGAGCGGTGACGGAGGAGGCTAGGCTCTGGGTGGTGGACACACAATACCACACACAGACGACTGTACACCCGAGACCTCTATGATTTCAATAACCAATGTCATCCCAACAAATTCAATAAAAAATACAAATCCTGTGACTCTGTAGGGTGATGGATGCTAAAGACAACAGAGGCCACTGTTCCGTGACCAGAATGAGTGGAGGAGCAGAGGGCCGTTCCCACACCTGCCAAGAATTACCACCCCTTCATTCCTGACCTGAAGAAAAACGTGTCCTTTACGATAAAAGCTATGTCCCTGTCGGATACTCTTTTGACTCAAGCTACACAGGGCATGTATCCAATTTAACTTTTTAACCATCGACTCCTAAGTGGCCTCCTCAATCGTTTTCTATCAACTCATCGCGTTTTATTTTCTCCACGACACCCGATGCTCTGACCTTCCTGCTTCATGACTCCTGCCTCCCATGGGAGTAGGCGGCCCCCTGGCCCTGGCAAACACGGTCCTCCCGGCCCCGGCCCCGGCCCCGGCCCAGCACCAAGACAGAGAGACAGGCAGCTAAAGACAGACGCCAGCACCTCTGTCCTTGGCCGGGATGCAGGGCTGGTTGTTCCCACAGGAAGCCTGCCGGGCTCCGTCCGCCCGAGCACCCCCTCTCTTCACAGACACCACCCCTTCACTCGCCAGCCCGGCTGCTTATCGCATCTCCTCGGAGCATCTTTATTTTTCTTCCTTTCTCCATTTTTTTTTTAAACACTCGATCCAGGCTTCCCCATCTCCAGGGACGTTTACGGGAAGCTATGCCTCTAGTCCCCAAAGACTCTCTGCCCTTCGGGTGACCCTGCTGTTTACCCCCATGGCGTCCGTGGTGTCCTGGGCCAAGGGGCCACGGCGCGGTCATGCTGGGGCAGGTGGGACAGCGAAGTCTCAGAGGTGACAGAGGCGGAATCCGAGGGGTGAGTGGCGCCAGGGAGTATTATGTTGGGGTCACATCCTTTCCCCCAGACCTCACCGGAGGCAGGAGGGAACCCAGGGGCCTGAAAGGCTGTGGACAGGGACAGACACGGAGCAGAAACGGAGGCACAGCCCCCGGCACCCACGGCTCTGAGAAGCGCAGGGGCCGGGGGGT